CCACGCAACCCTCCACACCACGTACACACCATACACCCGCGTCCCTGGGCGGTTCTCGCCCCCCAGAATATCTAACGATATGAGTTAGCCGTCAGAGTCGGGGACCCGCCACCCTCTGTTCAGACAGCCGTTAGATAAATCATTTTTGTGCACTTTCAACTGACGTAGTGAACATCGTTACGTAAGTGACGATGCAAAATGATTTAAATTTACCCTTTTTATTTTAAGCTTGCGGCCTTTCAGGCAATGAGCTCTGAGTCCGATGAAGCCGTAAAAGTCAAAAGACTAACAGCACAAACATCATAGAAACTACACTAGACTACGGAATTCAAGTAGATTGGCAGGAGAGCTCTAGACGTGGATAATGGTGCAGTATTTTATTCCTCGTGGTATCATCTTCTTAGCATCCGTTAATCCCTACAATTAAGTTAATAAAGTACATAACATCTTATAGTAGAGCATTAAGTTATATATACGAGCAGATTTTTTTTTGGATTCTGCGCGAGTAGAGAAGTACACACGCTAATTCAAGACAATTTTATACCACGTGTTATGTAAATTTAAAATAGCAAACAACTGCATCGCATCTAAATTTTATAGAATATTTCACAGATAATTATAAAATTTAGGCGTAATGTAGCTGTTTGCTATTTTAAATTTACCAAACATGTAGTATCAAAAATGAATAGATCGGAATTGAAAACATTGTTTTAGAAGGAAACATACTATGTATGTAATTACACTCAGGATGCAACACATAGAATGACAAAACCGCTGTCAATTTACATTCACATTATTCGATTGAGCCGTAGATGCTCAGGGTATAAGTGCTCGCCGTAAATTTATGAGTACGCGAGAATCTAGGGTTCGATTCCCACCGGCTTTAATCAAATTTTTAATTGCAATTTTAAGAGCCGTTTTATCAAGTACTCAGCGGTGAAGGATAAGAGCGTGATGAAACCTGTTTGTTTGAAGATAAGGTTTCGAGATCATGATAATATGTCCGCCAACCCTGTACGATAAAACCCGTAACGAAGATATTCGTAGCCTAACGGTATGCTGAAATGATTACGGGTCGGTTATATACCTCGAAGATTCCTAGAACGATGGAAAAAAGGATTTGAAGTACATGGAATGAAGACCTGGTAAGAAATGTTTAAAGTAGAAGGAATGTGGCACAACGCCACGTTTTTTGGTGTTCCTTGGCGAATATACATCATCATCATCTATCAGTTTTGGTCTTCAAAGCAGGAGTGAATAGGTTAATGTTACGCTTACCAGCAGGTGTGACTGTGGGCAAGCACTGGCTCACAATAAGCGAAATAAAAACTGCAGTTAATTTATGAGCGAATTTGATGATGATTCATTTGAATGGTTTAATAGTAGTTAGTAGTTAGATAGTTTAATAGATAGGTGATTCAACTGAAGCTGATATTTGTACGTTATACCAATTATTGTTTTTCAATTTTTATTTGTCCGTGTATCTAATATTATAAATCAACATAGTATAAACTATGGAATCAATTTTCATATATTTTTAAACCCAAACTTTCTGCAAAGAAGACAATACTATTAACAGAATTTGAAACAAAAACAATTTCATACCTTTCCTCGTTATAGCTTCTTTTTGGGTTGTATTTTTTTTATATGCCGTTCGCTCCTTGAAGTCACGAAAATAGCAATGAGGATGTGTGATAAGTCAATTAGTATTAAAACAAATTTATTCGACTTTATATTAATTAAAACAACTATATACAAACATATAACATAAATTTCTAGTTTAAAAAATTGCTAAAAACTTTTATGTTAGTTTTATGTTGCATAAATACTAAAGATTAATTTGAATGTTATGCATAGGATGAAATAAGAAATAAAGATTACATAATACACATTAAATGAAACTAATTTTTACGGATTTTATAGCGTTTAATATTACTTTCTAATTTCCGACGTATCGGTTGCTTTACAGCACCCATGGGCAGGGGGACTGAGATGTTTGTCGTGCCGATGTCATAGTTAGCCCAGCTACGTTCAGTTTTTGATATTAATTTCCTTTTTTTGTTCCGATCTACGCAAAATGAGTTTACGGTATCTTTAAGTATTGCAGTGGCATGCTTGGGTTTGCACTTAACTTTATTAATTATAGGATTCCAAGCAGATGGTAGTACTAATCCAACTTCTCTATTGAAATTAGGTTGTTTTTTGAATTTCAATAGACTAGCGAATTATCTTAGGTAGGAATTGGTGTTCTCTTGCAAGGATTTGTGGTATATCAAATCTAATGTAATAGTGGGGCCGATCTTGAACATGTTCACAGACTGCAGACCTCCCGGAACGTCGGTGCTTCACGTCAGCTATATGTTGTAGATGCTAGATGTTTGTAGATCTATAAGAGCCCGCGTAAAAGAACATATAACTGACGTCCATGTTCCATTTTACTTAATAATATATTAAAAATAATATACAAAAAATAACAAATATATAATCTATTATACGCTTAGATAGCAAACATATTTTTTATTATTTGCGAGCAGCTATGCAGGAACCCGGTTTGCTCGCGTATTACAGCGTACTACAGCGACCGCTAACCATCTGAGCTACCACGGCTACGCTTAGCCCTATATCTTCCATGAATAGAAGGAGTTGCTTAGCCGTGAGCAATTTCACTTCTTCTGGGTGGAGACCATACTTTTCCAGATGAGTGATATGTTTGCGCATTAAGTTTCCACAATAAGTTAGGATGTGTAGAGGCGTTTCTTCCGTTATGTAACAGAACGGACACATCCTTGAGTTGCTTAGTCCCAGGATAGACATGTACTTTTTAAGACAACAGTGTTCAGTTAGGGCTCTTGCCAGAATGCGCAACTTATTTTTACTTAATCTCAGGGTTTCTGAACCGAATCTGAAAAATAATTTGCATACGAATCAAATTCCCGCCATTTAAAAAATTTGGGTAAAGTTTTTAATGTCTTTTTTTTCTAGGGTTGGCTACTAACGAATTAAAGATTCGAAAAAACTAGACCTACTGTCCTATTCTGAAAACTTATTGGTTAACCTAGTAGATAAGCGTAGGACATAAATGTTAAAATCTGTACCTTATTCTCTTCCAGGATTCCACTAAATACGCAATGATTGGACTACTCATGGTGGTAATGTTGCTGTTTATCTTCGTTCTTATATTCAATTTTCTATTGTTCTTTTACTATCTCATTCTTAAACTCACAAAAACTTTGCTTACTGAATTTCACGTGACGCACACTAAATTATTTATTGTTGTTTTTAAACCTCTGCTTCTACCGTGGACTATTTTATAACTATGGATAGCCTCCTCAAAGAGATACCCCATTATATAAAACTATGTTAAAGGACAACCTTAATACTTAAAAAATTAAAATTAAACGCAATAAAATCCTTTATTTTAATGGATTGGAGGGTTGTGACAAATGCTTGTACTGTTGAGGAGCAAGGGCTGTTCAAAGGAAAGTAAGCCACTATGTTCATTCCTATTACGCTTACACATATGAGGCCACTCAGGCCGATCACATCTGTACTGATGTCAAAGCGGTTTAACAGACAGATTCACACTTCTAGGTCTAGACCGAATACTAAAAACAAATATTGAACAAAAGCGTTTGTTTCGTTTTGACTAACACATAACTAGGTCACACCGAGAGAAAATTAAGATCAAAATTGCTGGTAGCATTTTTAAAACCATTATTAAAAATTTTACCATATGAGAAAACTACTTACCCGATAAACCAAAACTACGTGGAAATCAATAAATAACGAATAATACGTTACGTAGTTACATTATGTACGAGTATGTATGTATTTTTACATTATATATTTTGCCAGTTGTTTTAAGGCAAAAAAAAACTATAACATTTGTGTCAGAAAGCTGTGATTTTACGTAGTTCCTTAAATTAGTGTAAAAAAATTATTTAAAAAATATTCCACGGTAATCGCTTGACGTTATTAAACACTCATAGAATGCAACAAACATTCCGAAGAAAATACAAGATAACACCAAAAGACCAAAGCACCAGCAGGACAAAATCACGACACTAAAGTAAGACTCTGAGAATGGCAGATGGGTAGAAGTCAGAATAATCGACCGCAACTCACATGAAGTCCGGGTAGTAACGTTACTCACCTGATAAGAAAATGTTAGTCACAGGAATAATAGGATGCTTTCACATTGAAACAACAAATAGGTACATATTTTTATTTATTGTTAGACTGACACAACTGCTAACATCAATAAATGTATTTTTAACAAGTTCACCACCGAAAACATGCTTTAAAAACTACAACCTACACAAAACAATTACTTTGGCGGTGAAAATAACAAAACAAAAAAAAGGAACTTTATTACTTAAAAAGGAACTTTAATATATTTATTACAACTGGTAACTTGAGTGATAATTATGTAATTCTTTAATCAAAATATATATAATCATCGTCGTCAAGAAATACAAAATCAGTCTCATTTTCATTGATCGACATTAATTCTACAGTCTTTACAATATTCTTACAATCTATTAGCTCCACTTCCATTGACTTTGTCTTAATAAATTTTGTATTGTCATGTTTGCCAACTTTTCTTAAAAAAGATATTTTTACCTTGTCATTGAAAGGTTTTTCCAAAACTGTGCCTACAAAATATTCCACTCTTTTTTTTAAAAAGTGTCTTACCAATACATAATCGTATTTTTTTATATCAATGGGAACAATTTCTAAGTTGGAACTTGAAGAGGGCTGATGCAACATAGTATCTGGGATAAGGCAAGTTTTAGTCTTTTCAATTTTAACTTTTACATTTTTTTTGCAGCCTTTAGATTTTGATTTATTAATATTAAAATCTGTATCTTGCATATCCAGGCTATCTGATTCAGAAGCAACGTCGCAAATGTCTGAATCACTGTGGACACTCATAGCGATGTCACTATTGCTTGATTCATCTTCTTCTTTTTTTCTTTTTTAACTTCTTATCTTTTCTTTTAATCTCTTTTTCTCGTTTTTCGTTTAAGCCGGTCATAGTTTTTAGTGTTAAGTGATGATAAGTTTTCTTTATTTTCATTATTGGTAACAATTTTTGGGGTACATTTTGAGGGCGGAATTATAACTTGCGATATAATCTTGGGTTTTTGTTTTACATTCGTCAAGACGTTAGTGTTAATATTAAGTGAATTCTGATTTTTTGCCATCAATACAATTTTTGTTCCAGCAGTTTCCCGAATGATGCAACTACTTGCTTTTGTTTTCGATTGAAAAATTCCACCTTCGTCATGTATAACGTCAATGTCATTGGTTGATATTCGATGTGAAACCACGGGAATTTCTGGCAGCACTGCTCCGCATTCATTCAATTGCCCCGCTTCCTCATTGTTGCGCATCCTTTTACTAACATTGGTTGAACAATTTATCTTGTGGACTATAGTTTTTTTCAGGACGTGAGTTTTCGCGTTGTAGCATTCGCAAATCCCTCTTGGCAAAGATGACTTACAGAAACAACTGACATTGCGGTACCTTAGTGTTGTTGATGGAACATGGTAAGTAATTTGATGTAATCGTGTAGTAAGTGGTACTGGATCCAAGTCATTCGGTATCTGGTTCTGTGCATCCCGAATATTAATTTCAGAGACTGAAAATATTGTAACAGATGATTCTTCAGTTAAAATAGACACAGCATCGTCGGCACAGCTAACATCATTTCCACATGCCACTTTTTGATCCAGCAGTCTTTTTACAGCACCCCCTACTCCATCGGCAGCACCCTTGCCGTGCGCAGCTTCGAAAAACGTCCAGGTTCCAAAAGTAAATTTATACTTTTTGCATTACTCTGTAAACTGGTAAAATTTTTTTTTGTTTATATTGCGTACTTGGACCGTCTGAGAAAAAATGTATAGTATCTATGTTGGGATTGCTTGTTAATAATAATTCAATTATAGGTTCTATGTGGGCTCTGATGGCTCCAGGGTCATGTAAGTTACAGTCGGACAGCGAAGCAAAAGGAACCTTTTTTTTGTTGTAGATATGCTATGCCAGTGTGGATCGTAATTTGGCCCTTTGATGCTCCGAAATGAAGAGCCTGTATCTCTTCTCCTAATTTACAGGAATAATTTTCTGAGAAATCTATTATTAGAGCTGCTTCATTGGGTAGTAGGTTATCAATAACTTCTCGATATTTTTTGTGCTGATGATTTATATTAAAGAAATGCTGCCGGAATGCACGTAGATCAGCTAAAAACATTTCTTTGAGTTCTGAAAATGTACCCTTAATACTTTCTTTAGCATATTTCTTTGTAGTAGTAATTTTTCTTTCTATTCCCTTCTCAAACGTAAATTCCTTTCTAATCCACTGTATCCATGTGCATTCTGTATTGTTTGTAATATCTGTCAAATTCATTTCAGGATTGGTGTCTTTACACTTTTCACAATTTAAATACATACAGTCGTACGATTCAACGCTGCACACACTCGATGCAAGTAATTCTTGCAAATCGGAAGTACCTATAACGCCAATTTTCTTTAAATGAGCAACTTTGAAGGCTAAATTACTGTGTTTTATACATGCAACGGTGTTTCTATCACTCAACTTTGGCCGTAACACATTTCTTGGCCTATTTCGTCTAAAAGTTGAAAATGAAGCTTTTCCTCCCTCGCTTACATATTTTGTGTAAAGTTTCTTCAATGAAGTAAGCAAGAATCGCTTCTGTAATTTATCATTACCTCTACCAACACATTCTTTCTTGCCAGCTGTCATTCTAGTGTTATCATCCCTGTTGAAAAAAATACGTATTTCTTTAGCTTCTTTGTATGTCCTTTCCTTTTTCTGAAATTTTCTTACTCTCCCTTTCAGTCCCAATGATTTCGAAATATCAGTTTTCAGATTATATTTTTCTATTGCTTCGGATGAAACAATGTCTTTTAGGATCTGTTTTGAGTTATTGTTATGTTTTTCATACGATGTCTGTAACGAAGCACTGATCACATTCAGCTGCAGGATCTGTTTTTTAACTTTATTTTTTTCAGGAGTGGATATGGATGGAATATTTTCATTTATAAAGGATAATGTTTTAGACATGGGAGTTTTTTCACGTAAATCTTCATTTTCAGATTTGTCAGTTGTGGTCAGTCCGGATGAGGTAGTTGGTGCATTAATGTCTGTAGGTACAAATTCACTGTTGGTTTTACTTTCTGATGAGTTTATTAAATATTTGTTTTCCGTTCGTTCTGAATTTGAGATCAATTTGCGCAGCTCTTCAATTTTAATTTTATGTCTATATAGGTTTTTTTGTAAAGCATGTTTCTTCAGCAATATATTATCTATAACTTTCTTTTGATCTGTTATTCGCTTCTTCAATTTTTCACATAATCGTGCATTTAACGCACAACACTTGTTGTTCTTTGGTTTTGTTACACCACCTTCTTTTTGTTTTTTTTTGGCAAGTCTCCATTCTCGTCGCTTTTTTTCCTTTTCTTTTTCAGTCAGTTCTGCAATTGGTCTTCTAGCAGCTTTCATGTATTCTCTATGCTTCTTTTTTTCTCCTCGTATTTTTCTGCATTTTGTTTTATTTTTTTCACGGTATTTTCTTTGTCTCTCAGCATTCGACATTGGCGCCATCTAAAAGTAAGCATGTAAAGTCAATTAGTTTTAATTTATGCACAAATACGTCCAAAAAGTCCAATCCATGAAATATTAAAATAATAATAATAGATTATTCCAGAAGTGGATGCCAGTATATTTCATGCATATACATATATAAATATATAAAAAAATATGAATTCTAAAATTCCTCCTTTTTTTGAAGTCGGTTAAAAATACGAACAAAACCAAGCGGTTCGGAAGATGAATGAGATTTTCGTTTGAAGTGAACAACTCGTTATTGATTGCAGGTGCACTTACTATACAAACTGATTCGTTTTACCAAGTGTTACTCACAAATCTATAAAATCCTGTGAGTAACAATTAGCAGTATGAACTAGCCCTAAGTCGTGTTACGTTATCCACAGGAAGGAAAAATATGGATTATAACCTCTAAAATGCATCGTCATAACAACAAATATCTTACCTTGAAAACAATGTCTCTGTGTTGTATGAGCACCAAAACACACTATTTCAGACTGTGTATCCAGACCCGCGTAATTCACTTTAGAATTTATCTCACTCACTAGTTTTTCACAGGAATATTTTGGACAAATTTTTCTGTGCGCGCACTCTTTCAACCAAAACTTAATGAAGTGACAACATGGCGTTCTCAAAAGTCACGAGATGTGAGTAACAGTGTTGCTAGCATAATATATAATTGCGATATGGTAGAATTTCTTTTCGGGAGCGTTTAAAACACCGTTATCTACCTGGAGTTATTCACAGGAATGATATTTGGGATTTTATTATAAACAGTAATTAAATAATTATAGACATAATAAATTAACGATTACATGAATGAAAACAATAATTAAGTCACCAGTTTTTACTTAACAGTATATAATATTGCTAAAAATTGCCTAGTATTGATTATTTTATAATATGTAAATTTTCATTACGCAATAGGACACTTTCATTTTGTATGGACGTGAAATTAGTGACTTTAGTTTGCTAATATTTTTTTCGGTATAGTTATATTCTAAACATAACTAAAATGGCTTGTTTTCCTGTAAATTAATTGTCCTTTAAAACAAAATTGGTTATAACTTGATATGACCCGAACTAATCTTTATATAAGCTGAAAACGGTCGAGGACACATATTTTTTAAAGTCATGTACGATTATTTTGACCTCTACCCAGATCTGTTACGTGGTAGAGCCACGCTGCAGCTATATTATAGTTGTAGCACGAATGTGTTTGCTTGACCGGGACAGGACCACGCTCTCACGGAATACCAGCGTAAAATAGCAGTGTAATGCTGCTGTGTTTCTTATGGAGAGTGTAGAGAACTGGAGACCCTTTTTACTGGAATCAAGGCATTCCATCTTAGTCCTCAGGGGTGACAACGCATTTGCATTCTGATTCTTAATTGAGGATAAATGTGGATCTATGGAACACAGCATCCACTTACCAACAGGGGGACTATGTGCTCGTTTGTCATCCAATACTATAAAAAATTGTAATTCTAGTTCTACACTCATATCGTTATATCTTCTTTTATTTTCTATAATTTTCTAAACTCCTCGTTTATAACATGGCTTATTGAAATCACTTGCGAGAAAATATGAAATAACAATACCAGTGATATTTATTCAAATTCATAATATATTTTTAAGATAAACTTTGAAATTTCCAAACACACAGCCAAACTTTTAAAAGGGACTTAATTAAAAAATAATATAAATTCGGGCTTACAGCCCAACAAACGCTTGTACGTGAATTATGTAAACAATAAACGTATTGGAACACATGTCCTTGTTCCCACCATTTGTTTTTGATAGCACATGTAAAAGTAAAAAAACAACGTATACAGCTATGTATGTAATAAGTTCGCGGAATTGCTCGGTTAACGAGGGTGAGTTTACTCATCCAGGCAGCCGCTAGTTGGGAGACTCATTGTTGGTATATATATCAAGTTTCAGCTTAATCGGATCATTAGCTTTTAAGTTATCAACGAGTAAACAAGTTATTCAGGAATAAACTAGCCACTATGGAGGAAATTGAATATCGCGTTGTCATTAAATTTCTCACCAAACAAGGAAAGACACCTCAGAGCATTTTTCAAGAGATTTCAACTGTTCATGGGGACTCCGCTCCTGGGAAAATCATGATTTATAAATGGCATGCCCTTTTCAAACAAGGGAGGGACTCCATTGAAGATGACTCCCAACCTGGACGGCCGATTGTGGCTACCACGCCAGAAATAATCGTAAAAGTTGAAAAACTTGTTTTGGAAAATGCCCAGCTTAATTAAAAATACCGCTTGCAGCATTAGTTGCAGTATCAGAAACAACCATTTTAAACATCCATAGATAGGTTGCCAGAATACTCTCTATCAAAAACACGAGCGCGTTTAAAGTCAAAAGAGTAAAAAGAAGGTATTAAAGAAAAAATGCGAGGAAAGCTTACAAAAGGCGTGCTTCTTTTGCACGACAGTGGGCCCGTGTACACAAGCCACGTTGTGACGGCTGCCTCGGTGCGGTTTTGAACAACTGCGCCACCCACCCTACATCCCAGACCTGGTCCCAAGCGACTATTGTTTCCAAAAATGAAGAAAGAACTGCGTCGCATAATATTTGGCGACGATGATGAAGTGAAGTCGTCAATTTCGGCCTATTTTGACGCCCAAGGCAAATCTTTTTTTAGACGGTATTAATAAGTTATTTGACAGATCTATTAAATATATTAGGGTTACATTGAAAAGCAAAAATAGTTTAATATTTCATTTCATTATCCTTCCCTGTCATTCCGCGAACTAGCTGGTGGATTATGATTACCAAAAGTATTATAAAAACTTGACATATCTCTGTTATGATGAAAATTCATCGCTCACTCTTCCCCACTGCTGGACAGGGTCTCATCGAATGAACCACGAATTGCGTCCTTTAGCGATTTTTCTAGTCGCTATAATAGTACTGATGCGACTATTCCGCAGTCCATAGGCAATTTTTTATCGCAATTCGCTCTTTTATTACCTTTAAAAATTTCATGGAACGGAGCTAACGGTATAAGCCAAAGTAGTTTACATTGGTGACATTCTCACCCGTTATTACTGTCAACAGAGAAACTTATAGATAATATTACCGTGCTGCAGTTTTTAACTTCTCTACTATTGATGTGTTCTGATACCTACCTATATCTTCAGAACAAAGTTGAAGTATTTTCGAATAAAGCGAATCAATTGTATCGTATATTATACAAATTTTTTGACTTCCCGAACTTTTATTTCTTTAATTTCTACTTGATTTGCAATTATATTACTTAGGAAACGAAACTTATAGATATTTATCTTCGGTCCCCTTTTTTCTCTTATACTGGATGATCATAAGGTCATCAACTACTGGGTAAGTCTACTAGTCCCTAACTTCGTAAAGTAATCTTTAATATGTTGTATTTCTTTTAATATTTCTCTTATGTCATCTCCAATAACCTAAAAATATATCCAAATACAAATTAATAAATGCGGTTACAAAAGCCTTAAACTTAATAACATGATTAATACATATGATAGGTATAGGAGGATACGATAGGTACATAACTAACTCTTAAACGGGCTACACACGAGACGATATCGGTGGCGATCTAGGGTGGAAAGAAATCGGGGCTTTTATCGGGGCAGACCCTACACACGGGCCTGCCTAGCAGTACGCGTTCGGACTTGGAGCGGAACACATATGCGGTAGAGTTCTTCAAAATAGCTTCAACTCTCTTAAAACACCAATGTATTGGTTTGGCATTAGCCCTCTCGGTAAATTTTTTCGAAAATAAAAAAGAGGAGTTGCTGGGTGAAAAAATGGCTCCAAAAGAGACAAAAATTTGGCCACATAAACGTACTAAATGGTCTGTAATCCAAAGACATGATTAATTTTCTCCGGATGGATGAAGACAGTTTTTATAACCTTCTAGAAATGATTTCGCCACTTATATAAAAACATCAATTTCTCCTATGTACCTATGCTATTTAGTTATTTCTTCTCTTTGTTCATTTCTGCTTTGGTCAAAATCTGGTTATGTATTACACAAAACAAACAAGGAAATAAAATACTTTTGTATAATAATATGTATACTTTTTTTTTAATGTAATCTTTATTTATGGAGTAAAACTATCAGAAAATAAAATAGCTTATATCTTTTTTTAAACATAAAGAAACCTTTAATTTCGGACATACTCCCTTTTATATAACTTGTTTGTTGATGTGGAGATGGTGAAGGAGTAGAAGTTAGTTGTTTATAAGAGGATGAAGGCACGTAAGAGATCGAATTGTGGTCTTGTGGAGTTGTAAGAGATATGAGTGCGGTCTTGTGTTGATAGTGTTGGAATAGGAGTTAGTTGTTGAGGAGAGGCTTTATCTTCTCCTTAGTTACATCATACACTCTACTTTACGAACGGCAATAAAAAAATAGTTTAGTAGGCATTCTTGACCATGTCACTTCGCAGGGTCACAGGCTAGGGTGGATATGATTTGAATTTCGATAAAATTTCATTTAATTTATTTGTTTTATTCACTTTTTTTTGGTTTTTTGTAAAATATCAGTGCCATAGGCTTCTGCTCCGTTTATGTGATTAAAATGTAAAAATTTTGTTACATAAAAAAGGTCATTCAGTATCACTGTTTTGTTAACTTCCTTCCGCGAGGGTTGCCGGCAGCGACTGCCAAAAGAAATCGGGCCGATGCGCCTACACACACGCAGTAAGGAGGGGGCGGTGCCCCGATCTAGGAAGCATCGGCTGATCTAGGAAGCATTTTTGCTCCTGCCAGCCGATTAAGGAGGCGATATCGGCTACGACTTAGGATGGCTCTACATACGACACGATTTAGAGGCAATCTAGGAGGCATCCCCACTACTCCACCCTAGATCGCCACCGATATCGTGTCGTATGTAGCCCGCTTTAAGAGTCTGTACTACCAAATGTCTTAGCGAGATCCTCTGTTATGCCAAAAATACTGCAGCACTGTTTTTGAAATAAATATATGGTAAAGTTGAGGATTGATGTTAAGTAATATGTTAGATGAAAACACGATTCCATAAAATTTTCTCGATAGAAAAAAAATCCAAAGTTACCTCCAAACTGAACTATAAACCGCTGGTATTCAAAAAATACTTCAAATTAGATCATGAAACTTTGTATACTAACTGAACTAACTATAAAGCAGGGTTTATGATTTTGACCCTAAAAAGAATCTATTTATCATTATTTTCACCCTAAAAAGAAATTACCTAAACTATCGTCATTTTAAAGTTTGTTCCCTGCCGCCCGACACCGCCGTTCACTCTTGCTTCGGCATTTGAACGGAAGGGCTGTGTCGCTTGAGCTCAGAACACACATTACGCAACAGGATGACGTAAAATTAAAATATTAAAATAGATACTTAGGTTTATAGTGTTGGCGCAATGGGAAATAAGCGTAATAAAAATAAGAAGCGATTGGGTTGGCGTAAAGAAACAGACAAACGTAT